GCATTCACAACTTCTGGAGGCAAGCTGTTCCACTGATTAATTGTTCTAACTGTCAGGAAATTTCTCCTCAGTTCTTCTGAGTTGCTTCTCTCCTTGATTAGTTTCCACCCATTGCTTCTTGTTCTACTCTCAGGTGTCCTGGAGAATAGTTTGACTCCCTCTTCTTTGTGGCAGCCCCTGAGACATTGGAAGACTGCTATCGTGTCTCCCCTAGTCCTTCTTTTCATCAAACTAGACATACCCATATGATCTAACCCTAACAGCTGTGGACTGGCAACTCAAAACGCTGCCTTCATCTTGGTTTGATTGGTTCAGCTAATCAAAATGTTGATTTCATCTGCCCACAAGAGTCCTGGCCATCAGCCAAGGCAGTTGATATGCCCTTGTGACAGCACAGCTGAACTGCAAGGCCACTCTTGACCATCTTCTCATGGTGAGACATCACCATGGCACTCCTGGCCTTTACCCTGACTTACAGTATTTGGTCTTCCACTTTCCCTTTGGAGACCACCAAGTGCTTTAGCAAACATGGTGATCCAGATGTTCGGATTCAATAGCCAGACCAGCAGTTCCTTCTTATCCATGTGCTACTGTCTCCATTCAAAAGCGTCAAGAAAATCCTTTGCCAGTTTGATTTGACTTTTTCCCCCCTTCTGTTTGGTGGTGGTAAGGTGGCTTCATTCCTTTAAACGATTCTTAAGACAGCGTTTTTCTGGGTAGATTCATAGAAATGATCTGCCCAAAGTCTCTGCTTCCAAATTCGGTGAAGAATTTTAAAAGGTCATTTCAGCTGAGCTCTAATTTAGATTTTAATTACAGCCACGGCCTACGTGAGGAATATGAGCGGTGTGTAGACAAGAGGCTTCATGCCTTTATCCTCTGCTGCTATAAATACATTTGAACCATCTTCTAGATATAGTAAATTAAGCATCTTAATGCCTGACACTCTATCACTGGGGACTTCCTTGGTCACAGTTTCATCTGCCGTGATGCTTGGATGATGATAGGAGGCCCATGTGGAATACAAGTGTCAACGTGTCCTCTGATGTGGGTTTTGTGCATTAGCCAAGTGACCTCTCATCAGCCTACTGCAATGTTAACAATGTTGTCTCCTAAAATAAAATAAAAAAGAACTCCTGCCATTATGTCTAAGTAGAAACGGTCGCAATCTCAAGAGAGATCAACTGGACAATTGTTTTTCTTGCACCCAATGTATCAGCTGACAGCTGATAATACCCAACCTCCAAATTGCATCTTTTTTGCTGGTCCAGGATTTCTCTGGGTTCTCTGTTTTCAGGGAATTTTAATGGTGCAGCTAAGACTGGAGCCCCTGAGCAGAAGGCAAGGATCCCACAATTGGGAAGGGACCCAGTTGACATCCAGATAACAGCGGGCCTTGAGTAGACAAAGATCATCCGAGGCCTAAGGGCTACCTGGTTATGGATGGTTGGTGCATGAATATATCCACCGTACATATACTCAAGATATACCGTATTTTTCGGAGTATAAGACGCACCAGAGTATAAGATGCACCGGAGTATAAGACTCACCAAAGTTTTGAAGAGACATATTTTTTAAAAAAGTTTTTGCACTCTGCAAATCTTCCAAAAACGGCCTGGTTTTTTTTTAAAG